TACATAGTTCATATAACCGTTGACGATAACACGTAGCAAACTTATTTTTGTCCACCTGCGTGATAGTAATCGCTTACTTATTTGACTTCAGAAAAGCGATCCTCTTAAGCACGAAGTGTTGTGATGACAAATGCGAAGAGCTTTGGGGAGCACCTTCAATGGTAATCTAGCCGAAATCTATCGAAATTTTTCTGTCCTAGCCGCTCCAAACTCACAGTTTATTCTATTCAATGCGATGCACCCACCGGCACAATTTCGGCCGCCTTTCCTTGCTTCCGACTTAACATTCTTACTACAATGTTCGTTTATGGCACAAATGTTGTACTATGCATCTCATTTGTTTTACGTAGCTTCACGCTTATGAGAATGCCTGTGCCATACCGGAAGCACGATCGAAGCTCGAGGACGAGCTTACTGTAAGGAACGGAGATGTCGAGTCCTCGCTTCGCTACCGCCTGTCGATTCCTCGCTTCGCTACCGCCGCTTCATGTGTCTCGCCATCAATCACTTAAGCAATGTCGCACAAACCGATATAAAAGCTGCTGGTTCGAGACAGCCAGATCGACTTGCTCTACTCCACCGCCGTGGATCATCGCCCTGGCTATATGGCCTCCTCGTCTTGACCCGTTCCCCCTGTTCTATTTACAATGTTGTATTAGTAATAAACATATATAGGCAAGACTATTGTATCACAGAAGAACACCCGTTCCCGCTACACCCTCAGATGTAGGAGTCATGAACCGATAAGCTGACGGGTAACAAATAAAATCAGCATCTCAGCGGTTAACGGAACTTCTCCCCTATCGCGGCATTCTCCCTTGCGGCATGCGGCAAATGTCACTGCAATTACCGTACTCACCCCGCCTTCCGAAAATCGATAGGACGCGATATTTTTCCTTGACTGGCTTGCTTTTTCATTGGATTTTATCGTTTTTTCTTCTGTTTCTTTTTCGTTTTCATGTTTATTTAACTTGATTAATTAAAATGACTCCTCCTATGTAAGCGGCGATCAAGACTGCATTGAAATTGAAGAAAGCGGTCAGCCAATTCAAATAATTAAAGGACTCCCTACCTCACAAATTGCGCGCTCCAATATTCCATCGCAATCCTGCAAAACGCGGCGGGTGCGGCGTGTGCGACGCCGTGACAAGGGAGAAGTTCCCGGACCCCATCTCAGCTCACCTTTTTTGTGTTGGATACGACAACGTCACTCCAACGCAAGCTCAATCGTATGGGCTGACACGTCTCGTCCCTAAAATCAAAGTGATCGAACCGCAAACAGTAAAACAGATTCAAACGCACCGATTCAGAACTCCCACAACCATAAGAATGAAGTCGCGGTCAAGAAGAAGCATAAAATATGCGATAGAAGGCAAAACAAGAAAAAATGGTG